AGCAGGAATCTGCAGAATCGGCCCCTTTGCAGTCGGCTATGCCTTCCCTGCCTTTTGTCAACACCGTCCCAGCTGAGGTGGCAACATCTGTTGAAAGGGATGTTCAGGTGCCTTTATCAGGCACCTGCAAATCCATTTAAGTCATCTTTTTACAGACTTCCTGTGTGATCTTGGCAAAGTCTGTTAAGCTCTCAGAGCTTCCGTTTACTTCCAGTGAAAGAAGAGCAGCTGTCAAAAATGGCAGTGACTGAATGACGTAAGGAAGACCGCGAGCGCGGGAAGCTGCTGTTAGCGTACTGCGGGCTTTTTAACTGCAGCTCTGCCCTCGGGACCCCTGCCGGATTCCCTTGCACCTTCACTCCTGGGCTTGCTCAGCTCGAAGGAGGGCAGCAGCAGATTTTGCGTAGTGCTTGACGCATGGAGTCATTTAGGTGTGGGCAGTGTATGTCTCGAACATCTTAGCGGGGCTGGGGGTTGTAAGTGCTACCGCCCCCTGAGCTGCAGTAACTGACAATTTATGGTACAGGTGCCGTGAAAACCATGTTGTATAATCAGAGGATATCTATATTTCCTTTACGTGTGTTGGTATGGTCAAGGATATCCCTTATCTTCTCAGTCTCTGTCTTGCCGAGTACCTTCAGTATTCAAATCAGAACAGAAGTTAGTGAGAAGCTACAGATATTTTAATCGACATGTGCTCTTGCACTTAATAAACTTTGCCTGTAGGGTTTCAGGTATTCCCCCTTTTTTTTTTGTGTCCTAAACATGTCCTGAGCTGTAAGAGGTTCAGATTTCAAAACTAGCAACACCTGGATGAAATGCTGGTTTGCCCTGAGGGGTGGATGACAGTTTATCTTTGGTGCAATGCAAAGCATCTTCCAGCAAACACTTGATTTCTGTTATTCACCTGAAGAAAAGCCACTGACTGATATGTGGCCTGGGCAAAACGGGAGCTGGAGGAAGAGGAGAAGGCTGAGGCTGCTCAACGGGTTGAGACACAGAGTAGCAAATCAGCTTGCAGTTTCTTACTCCTCACTGTTACTGCTAGAGAAAGGAAGAACTGTAAAAAGCTCTGATTTATTTTACTGAGCACAGACCTACCCAGAGTGGTCCAGCCTGGAAAACTACAACTCACTAGGCATCCGTTAAAAATGTTTTAGCAAGACAGCCCCTAGCCCAGGGGATTGTACATTACAGTGCAAACTGTTCCTTCAGGTTAGAGCTAGCTTTCCATGTCTACTCTTTTGCGGCCAAAATGAAGTGATGAATTTTTTTTTTAATTCATTTTATCTGAACTCGAGCAAAAGAAAGTGGAAAACCAGACCCAGGGCTTATGTTTGTGGGATCAGGCCCAAGGTGAGAGAACTGTGCTGTGATTCTGTCACGTTCCTGGGAGCTGTGATGGAGCTATTACAAGAGGGAGGGTAATTTTACTTAAAAAGAGATGTCAGTGAAGCTAACACTGCTGCTGTGTTTAATTTGCAGTGGGAAGCCCCATCCCTGTGAAACGGAACTTGAATCCTACCACTGAAGAGATTGAGCAGCTACATGAGCTATATCTACAGAAACTAAGTAAATTATTTGAAGACCACAAAAGAAATTATGGGATCCCTGAGCATAAATCTCTTATCTTTGAGTAGTGAATTACAGTTTGTGATTACAAGGATCAGTTTGGAAAAAAATATTGAGTACTGAAAGAGATCTTTCTTGCAATCTATATTTTGCAACCTGTAATTGTTCTTGTGTGCGAAATAATTTTAAGAAGGCATTATTTGATTTTCATCTAATGGGAAAAAAAATCCTTGGGGTGTGATCCTGGAGGGTTGTCCTTTTAGATTCATCTGCACTAGAAACACTAGTGAGAGACTCAGCACAGATGTGGTATGTAAAACTATAACTTGACCAGAGGAAATTGCCCTAGCATGAGATCACGAGCAGGAAAAGTATAAACCGCTGAAGTATGTAATTAGAAGTTAAGAGACTTACGAGCATGTATCAAACGTTGCCTCAAGTTGTTCTTTGAATATTAAAAAAACCCTACTGCTCTTCCATAGAAATGAAGTTTGTTTTCAGTAGATGGCTATTATGAACCGTTTACACGGGAATTCATGAATATTATGAGCTTTCTGCCCTAAATAAGAAATCAGCAGAAGTAATTTCTCCAACTTATGGAGCACACTAAGCTCTGTTGGAGGAAGAACAGTGTTGGGTTGTTCTGTGTGCATGCATTTGCTGGGTGGTGGGGAGCACTGAGTAATGTGACTTCTTTTTTTGGACAAGCTGTACTTGGGATCATTAGTTTGTAAGTTGATGCAGCTTGGTTTGGTAGTTCAAGTCTTGCGGGAAATGGCAGGCATAGTATGGGAGATGTTTACCAGTGAAGCTGTTAGGGGAGTCATGTGAACTTTGCATGTTATGCATATTCAAAATTACTCTTATGCTAAGTACTTCCACAGAAGGAAATGAAGCCCACTTTGTTCAGTCTAGTTCTGAAACTTATTCAAGGAAAGTGTACTTGAGTTATGCCTCAAGTACATGAGTTATGCCTCAAGGATGGGGAAGCAGACCATGAAGCTTCATTCTTTTTTCCTACTAGTCTGATTGAACTGAATTCTAACCTGCAGTTTCCTTATGTGGAAAGCTGTCCATCAGTGTGACACGGGTGTAATTACCAAGGCAGCTGAACACAGTGCTAAAGTGGAAACACTAGAGTTTGAGACAAGGTTTTGCTTAAAAGTGGGTATCTATTAAAAAAAAAAAAAGAAAACTTGGCCAACCTTTTTCAGTTAAAATGTCTAGGCCTCCAAAATGATGATGTGTGAAGAGAATTATAGTATTATATTTTTTATATGTGAAAAATTACTGTATCTGTAAATGCTTTCTATCTGCACATGGATTTTGTAGATCTGGATTTATTGAAAAGTGTGTTTTGATATAAGCAGTTTTGATGTCTGAATGTTGTATCGGTTAGGTGCACATCAGGCAGGATGTGCATAAGCTTTTTGGGCAGCCTGGGGCATCTGCAGCTGTGTCAGTTCAGCAGCAATACAGTCTGGAAACAGTGCTGTTGGCCCTACAAAGGCACTGGACACTTGTGCATGCTGGCCTCAAGCCTTCCCTGAAGAAATGTCGTTGTGGTATTTGGGGAAGCATTAGCACTCTGGAAAGAAAAGATCTTAGCAACATGAAGGTCTTCAAAGAAAAGGGTGGAAATAGCATGACTCCTGAGGACTCCTTGTGAGCCAAGGTCCCAGTGTTGAGTAAGTATTTGCCAGACATGGCTCATGGATGTTGGTCTAACCTGCTCCAAAAATCTTCCAGCAACTGAATGGTTTGCTTAGGAGGACTGTGCCTTTTAGTGTGCATCTGTCATTCAGGGATGACCAGTGCTGAGCCGGGGAATCCCGCTCTCACTTTTTCGAGGGCTATAGATGTCTTTTTAGGAGCCAAGATGAGAGCTGAAGTTCTTGATGCCTAGAGAAGTAGCTCTCCTTTCCCTGACAGACTGCTGTCAACATGCCCACAACTCATCTCTTCTGTGCTTTAGCTTTCTTGGTGCCAAATGTGCTTCCCTTCACCTTCCCAATGCTTTGCTGCCTAATAATGGCTGTGTGTGATGACCATGTACACAAAGAAAATTTTGAATGGCTTCCTATCACTTAGCAGAAATAGAGGTTTTTAGGAGTAGGGCTTGAGAAGAGGAAGTGCTATGACCATTAATGTTTGACATGAGCTTAAGATCAGGACTATTTCAGCTTTTGGAATGGCAAATGTGTAGGGATTCAAATATCACAGGTGTGGTACCTGGAAGAGGCCTCTAGGGTCCTGAAGGCTTTAAGTGATGAGCTCTGAGTAGCCATTGACCCATTTTTGTTTATCCAACTGTGTGAAACTTCCATCTGAACTTTTTTTTTGCTGCTTGCTCTGATGGGTAGTGCTTATGTAGTCACGAAAGACAGACGTGGAGTCCGTGTCGGACTGTGCTCTCCTAGATCACCTGATCTAATAAGATGTTTCCTCTCATACTCAGTCTGTTTTATCTTGTTACCTTATTGATATAGAAGCTCAGGATGTAAATTTTAAAGCCATAGTGTGGGGTTGAGGATTGGAAGTGTTTGGATTGTTGTTGATCAATTTAGCCCAAAATTCTAGGGAACGTGAGGATACTGATTTGAGGGAGGGATATCTGGTCCAGAATGTACCCTTATGAGTAGGCACACCTCTGAATATTCCGTGACAAAATTGTTTGTGGGCTCTAAATACCGTCATAACTGGCACAATTAGAACAAGTAGGAGTTGTTACTCTGGCTACTAATATTTTTATTGGCATATAACATAGGAAGAAGGAGAAAAGAAAATAAATTTTCCAGGCAGTCTAAATATGTGTTATTGCTCTGCGTAAACAGTTGGTGTGTAACTGCTGCACATTGCCTATGCTGGTCCTTTCATCCTACCTTTTGTTAAAAAACTTGCTATGCTTAGTGTATCTAGGACAGCACTATGTTTAAGTAGGCTATCAGTATCTAAAACTGATATGCACATTGTCCTCTAAAATATTTACCTTTGTGATAGTACCTGGATTTGTAAAACAGCCCTGCAATGCTGCATTAAAGACTGTGGACACTTCAGAGCCCTGGAAGCTGCAGCCCTATTGCAGGTAGCACCAGCCCTGATCCTACTGTTGCTGTGGCCATGAGGAAGCTTGCTGTGTCCTGTGAGAACATCAAAGCAAGCTTCAGTTGCAGTGCAGGCTTGACAAAGCAAGAGGAGGTCGTAGAAGGAATGGTGAGTCCCCCCTTCCCCCCCCCCCCACTACTATAATTAGAAGAATTGGGTATGGCTCAGGTTATTGGTAGGATGCCCACACCTATGGGGGCCTACTCTGTGGTGTGTTTCTCTTTGTGCCTTTCAATGGGTGTCAGTGGCCACAATTATGGATAGGCGTACGACTTGGCTAGCTTACATTTTCTCCCTAAGGATAGATGCCAGAGATGAAACAAGTACCCGTACCCTGTCACCTCCTACAGAAAAGGATTAGTAGTTGGTGCCTGCTCACATTGCATAGGGATTTCACCATGCTGCTGACTTCACTTTGCAGAGGTAACTCCAGGGAAGCAAGTCATCTAGTAAACGGATAGATGCCCTGCCTCTGTACCGTGCAAATACTGCCTCTCCAATGTACTGAAGCGGACCATGCCTGCCTGCTCCCTTGCGGATAAACACCTCTTCACCAAAATATGTTTACAAAAGCCCTTACACCTAGAATCAGTCCTCGAGAACTTTATTTCTTGAACTACAAAGCTTACTTTACACTCTTGGATACCTGTGTAACTTTTTGTGGTAACTGTAAAATACCAATTTCTGTTGTTACAATGATAGCCGCTCCTAGGAGGTGTGAGACAATAAAGCTCTGTACCAAAGTGTGTTTGCGTGTTTGTGTTGGGTGGGACTCAAACACTCATCACTGCTATTGGGTAAGGGCTTGGGACTTCATCCTTAGGACCCTAGGAGCATGACTCAATTCATGAGAACAGCATGTAAAGCAGCTAAGAGGGCAGTGGTCATAAGCACGCTGAAATCAGGGGTCAGTGAAGGTGGATGGGCTGCTCTCTGCGGTCTCCTCAGGGATCGTCTGAAGACACTTTAAAACTGATTGTAGTCTCTTATTTTTTTGGTATGGCAAGGCTTATGCTGACAGCTGCACTGACAGTTATGAATTCTAAAGCCTGGGAAAAGCTAACGGAGTTTTGTTACTGTTTTAATACTCTTTTTATGAGGGGATCCCACCTTGCGTTCCAGTATACTATAACAGAAAAAAATGCTAAAAAGTAAAGTGGCTTTGGGTTGCTTCGAAGGAGTCTCATCATACCTGTGTGTAAAGGGGAGGTGTATTGTGGTTTATCAATGGATGAGCATCACATCTTGTTTTTTGTTGAAATACTAAAAAGCAAATTTTATCTGTAAAGCTAGAAACAGAGAAAAATATGGAATGGAGAACAATTGCACCTTTATGCTTTCTGAAGTGCTGCAGAAACTCTAACCCTGATCACAGCTGTCTGCAATAGGTAAGCAATGTTATCTCCATGCTAAAGGAGTCGACTCTGAAGGGAATCTGGTGTCCTGAAGGATGTAGATGGTTTTTCAGCTGGTGTTTCTTCAGGTTGGTATCAATTTTGTCAGGTAAAGTGCTGGAGCACTGCCTGGACTGGAGATCCCAGAAGTCCCTTGTCTTCTCTAACAGAATACAGCTGTAGAGAAGGAAGAGGAGGAGAGAAAAGGAGGAAATTTACTTAACGCATTCATATGCTGGGAAAATACATCTAGCAAAAAAGTAACTGAAGAAGGTGAGGAACCAGATTCTTTTTTGCAGCCTTCCATACCGTAACAATGTTTCACAAATAGAAAATGTTTCTGAAGCAGCCTTTTGCAGTGCAAAAAAAAAAAGAGGTACTCTGTTGAAGTAATGCTTGTTGTCCTCGTATGCTCAATTTCAGTCTGGCAACCAACCTTGGGTCTTTTCAGTCTTGGACAGTGCTAACAGGCAAAAATTGTCAGCCAAGTAATAACACCTTCTGTTCATGCAGTTTATTTTCAGCTAAATCTCTTACTCATGTGAATGGAGTCCTCTTGCTTTTTGAATGGTTAGGTTGAAATTTAATAAACCACTGTGGCAAACCAAGGAACAAAGAGCCCTCCAGCAAGCTGCTTGTAAGCTTTTTTAGCTAATATGAATCAAGAATGGTCTATTATTTTCTTTCCGCAGTTCAACCAATATCAAATATACAGAATAGGGTTGTTGAAAGGAGAATGGGAATCCTCTATATCAAAGTTGCAGAGCAGAGGCTTCTCTTTTTTTGTTATTTTTGTGTGTATTTTTTTTAAAGGAATTGTTTCCTCAGGAAACTGCTTGCTAATAATTCTTAGACATAATAATTTGGACACGTGCTTTAAAAAACATTGAAGTGGAAGTTTACACTAAAACAGAACCCCAATTTATTACATGTTGCTAAAATTTATGATATTCCTCTAAATTTGTCTTGCATAGATAGAAAGTAAAATGTAATTTTTGACATTAAAGCAAGCATCTTTCATGACTTAAAAAATTGGGAGGGGGGAGGGGAGCTTTCAGGGGAGACTCATACAGAGAAAATGTCCTACCCAGTCTCCCTGGCGAACCCCTGCCTGGTAGAGGCCTGTTTAAACGAAGAGTCTAGTTAAAACAAGAAGGCCCAAGAACCCTAAATCACGTCGGTTCTTGCAGAAGATGAGCGAAACAATTTGCGAGGAAGGGTGGGCTGACCGATGTGCGTTTGTTCTTAGGGGTCCCGGAGTCCAGGCAGAGCGCTGTTTACCAGAGCTGTAGCTACCTATAGGTGACCTTAGCTCAGCTCGGGAAAAACATGTTTGCAGTGATTGTTACTCAACATGCCCAGCGGGGTTGACCCTGAAGTGGCGGTGGCGGTGCCGATGGCTGGATCGGAGAAGCTGGATGACGGGCTGCCTGTTTGCAGGAAACTGCTCTAGGTGATGACTGACGTAGGGAAAAACCTTACTCTAGCACCTTGCCGGATAAATATGCACATGTTCTGCTTAAAGTAAGGCTTAAAAGCAGTATCTTTTGTAAATAAGATCGTGCTGCCTTTTTAAAATCAGTTTCAAGAAATATAGCGGAGCAAAATGCGGAAGGGTGCCAACGCCTGCCGCAGCACGCGGGCCGAGGGCCACGCTGCAGGCAGAGCTGCTGCCACCGCGGCGCCTGTCCGGGGGCACGGGCGGGCCTGGGGGGCAGGG